TTTTAAAAGAAACATATCGAGCAAGCGATACGTAGATAACTATTTTTTCATTGCCATTAATATATATAGCTGAGAGGAATAAAAAGAAAAAAAAAGAAAAAAAAAGAAAAAGAAGGGAAAGAGCGATTAAAACGACGCTAGAGATTTTATGCTGCTACCGAATATTTGTTTATTGTCGATATCGATATCCCATTTCGCTGAGATTTTCTTCTACAGTGAAATAACGTTTGCCTTAATTTGTAAGATATCCGTTTCCTTTATATATTATATGTATACCTAAATATGTATATGTTAGGAAAGTTAGCGAGAACGAATAGTTTCGACGAGGAATAAGTAATATGAATAAGTTTCTAGACGAGCAATTATTTTCGAACATGAGATAATTTGTAATAAAATAAGGAAAATACGATGGAAATATTTTCGGGAGAAACTGTGGTGATTGCGTTTGATTCATCCTATGTTCTTAATATATTGAATATTTGTTTATTATGATGGAAGATTATTAAATATCGTCATTGCAGAAATTATATAATTACATATATATATATATACATATATTTTTATTATTTCAAATTGTAAACTTATCGTTTCACATCTGACGCTTCAGTAAATCAATGTCATGAATATCTTAAGACATTATATTTTTCTCCCCAAAATATTACTTCTATGGTAGTACTTGAATATAAAGCGAATTTGGATAAGATGCAACAAGAAAAACATTATTCTTGAATAGTTAAAAATAATTTTACCTTGAAGAAAAAAAATTTAAATTTTCTTATAATTCATATATATAAAATAAAAATTTGTTTTATAATTGATATATTTCATATTCTTACAATTTTTTACTTCAATTTATTATAAATTCGTTGAAATTAACAATCGTGTATACGTATTTTTATTCGTTAAGAAAACAAATTTCTTGTTGCATATTGATATCCAGTTTAATATTAAGTCATTCAACGCACACACTTAGCTGTAAGAATTTTTATAATGGTGCTCTATGAGATCATCTCTGCCGTCAAATGCCGATATCATCACACATCACTTTTTAATATTAAAACTTTTCTTTTTTGTCTTTTACGAAAGCTAAAAGAAGGAATCGAAAGCATATTGCGCGTAAACATCTTCGGCTTATTCCATAGAACACCATGGTACATGCCGAATATTTTTATTGTAAATATTAAGATACATAATGGGAGAAGATGCAAAAGTGATAAAAAAACAGGGATAGAATGAATTAATTAATGTGCAATAATAAATTTTGTTAGTCATCGTAAACATTCGATGACCATAGAAAATAATTTTATTATTTTTATTATAAAATAATAGTTTAATTATAAATTTGAATACTGAAATTTATTAAGATGAATTTTAATTAAAATTAGTGAATAGTTTTTAATCCGTGTCTGATAATAGCAATTGCTAACAAAAAAACTTAAAAAAAAATTTATTAAAATATTTTATGCATAAATAATTAACTTCTATGTTTTTAATTTTTTTTATTTAAGTTAAAGTCAAAATTATATTGAATTGAATGAAAATATTAATTTCATTAATTATAATCCTCTTTTACAATTAGAGTTATTTATCTATGCATGCATATAACCTGTGGCTGAATTTAGTCACGAAATTCAAGATTATTAGATACGAATTAACAAGGCGCTATATATCATTCAGAAATTTTAAGAAAAACGGCTTAATGCAAAAAAATTTTATAATGGCATGAATTCGTATTGTCGATTAATACACGTAATCGAGAAAGTTTTATCGATAAGCTTAAAACTAGAGATAATTTATGGAATAATAATAAAACGTTCACGATGGCGTAATTTTTCATCGTTATATTCATTATAAATCTACTCAATATTGTTTCCATAATTCAATTATTAATAGTTAAATATTATTTCATGATAAATTTCAAAGATAAAAATGATTCCAAATTTATATGTATGTACGTACATTTCAGTTTTTTATTAATGAGTTTCTTTTCTAATAATTTAATAATATAGTCGAAGGTTTATGATTAATAAAGATAGCTCTCAAGAACCAACTGGGATAAAGCAAACTTTTGTAACGAAAAGTTTAGTCTGTTTTATCACTGCCAGAGAGTATTTGAAAAATAATATAGGCTTCCTAAAAAAAAAAAATACAAACATTGCTTACAAATGTAATTTGTTTAATATATGCATGCTTGAATTTTTATTTTATATTTTATGTAAAATTTTGTGCACAAGTTATTTTGGCATATAATTAATAAAAAAAAAAAAAATAAAAGTAAAAAAAGAAAGTAAAAATAACCAAATATCGATGTTCCCTTTCGCCATCGTAAACGTATCAAAACTGCTACTAATGGCTATTATATATTAAAAATATTTTATCTGAAACATTATTATCTTGTCGCTTAAAAGTTATGTTAATCTGTATATTTTGTAAGCAAAGATTCTCAATAGCAATTAATAAAGATACTATTATGACAGAAAATATGGTTCTAATTGTCAAAAAATGAAAAAGTATTAAATAATACTAATAATATAAAATATAAGTAAAATACAAGTATTAAATAACATAAAATATGATACAAATATAATTTAAAATTTAAAAAATTAGTAATCATTACTTAATATAATGAAATATTATCTATTCGAAACAAAAGAATTTATTATATATTACATTTCTTAATTAAATGTAAAAGTACGTTAAAAATAAATTTTATTATAAGTGAGATTGATAATTCATCAAACCTAATTACCATAATAATAAAAATTTCAATAAATAGTAATATTTTTGTCATTTATTATTTTATTTTTTATAATATAAATAACATATTA